GGTTGTTGGATTTAGCTCAGTGGTTCCACCATCTGCCTTGCAAGCGCAAGGACCCGAGTTTGATCCCTAGTACCAAAAAACAAAACAAAACAAAATAAAAATACAGTCCCATTTGTATTATTATTATGGCCTTGTCTGGAAGCCATATTGAAAAGTATTAGAGCCATATTAAAGTATTAGTGTTAAAAGTTTTAGAAGTTCTTGCCAATAAAGTTTTATTTGTAGGTTCTGCTGTTCTTTTGAATTAAGTGAACCTGTTCCGTAGCACTTTATTTACCAGGGATCATGACTGGCTCTGTAACTTCATCTGCGTTAGTGCTCCGGAAGCATTGTTGTTGGGCGAGTGAGGTAAAGGCTTTTTGCTTCCACATATTCAGCTCCTGGCTGCTTATTTCCATGGTGCATGTGTAGTAAAAGGACTTCAGAATTTCAGTAAATAAGATTGTACTGAGCCTTTGACAACAATAATCTGTTGCTACACTCATTTTATGTAAGATTCTAGACTATAATAAAAAGAGACTGCTGTATTTGTTTCTTTATACAAGAACTGTTGATTGCACCAAAATCAATTGGAACATCACAAGGGGGGGAAATATGAGAATCATAATAAGGTAGTGATATTAATGTAAAATTTGTAGTTTTTAAGAGGAGAAGACAATCTAAAATGCAGAGCCACAGAACTCACCCAAAAAATGAGTACCAAGATGAATGGCTGATTTTCTTTTTCTGTCCCTCAGTAAGCTAGTCATAAAAGACCACATAATACAGGATTCCATTTACATGAAATGTCTAGGAGTAGAAAGTTCATTAAAGTCTGAAGTGTATTAGTGCTTCCCTATGCCTGTGAGAGGGAAGCAGTGAAAGATGCAAATAGGTACAGAATTTATTTTCCTTCCTTCCTTCCTTCCTTCCTTCCTTCCTTCCTTCCTTCCTTCCTTCCTTCCTTCCTTCCTTCCTTCCTTCCTGTCTCTCTCTCTCTCTCTTTCTTTCTTTCTTGCTTGCTTGCTTGCTTGCTTGCTTTCCTACTGGGGATTGAACTCAGGACCTTCCACTTGGCCCCAGAATTTGTCTTTGGGATGATGAAAATGTGTACTGAATTAGGTATAGTGATGACCACAGAGTTTTTTAAAGATTCTATAGACTATTAAACCTATTTAGGTAATCTTTGTTTTCTGTAAATTATTTCTCAGTAAAACTGTTCAAATAATTCTATCTGGAAATATCAAAAGACTATAATAGCCAATAACATTTTGAAAAAGATGAGCAAAAAAGATTATCATATCAGAATGCACTAAAGGTGACAATTTTTAAATACAGTTTGGTGAAAATTACAGTAATAGCAGACAAGTGATACAGAATAAGGTCTGAAACAGGTTGTAAGTGGATTTAATGAAAGAATAAGCAAGCGCAAGGTCCTGAGTTTGATCCCTGGTACTAGAAAAAGAAATTAAAAACACAAAAGACTAAGCATGTGATATTAAAATATTCAAAATGAGCAAAATTTGCAGAATTTGAAACACTTAAAATTTTATAAACTCTAAGCTATCTTTTAATTAAACTTCTAATTTTGAGGTAATTATATAGTCAAAGTTGTATGAAATACATAGAGATTCTTTATTAATTTCACCAGTGGTAACATCTTGCAAATCTACTCTAAAATATTGATATTGATACAGTTAGGACACAAAAGTGTACCATCACTATTATGTTCCCTTCCTGTTGCACTTTTATAGCCACCTCCAAGCCCCTCCTTCTCCTGGTGCTATAGTCCTTGTGCTTGACCTCTGACAACCACTAAAATTTCTCATTTTAAGAGTTATAGTAATAGAATCTGTTGGGATTGATCTTTTCTGTATTATTTCCTAGAGATTCATTTAAATTGTTCATGTTGATTCTTTTTTTATTGCTTTTTGTACTCTATGGTATAGATTTCCCTCAATCATCTACCAATTGAAGCACATCTGGATTGCTGCCAGTTTTGATCTCTGATGAACAGATCAAGTCAAATAGCCAAGGGTGGGTTGGGAGAGAAAGCATTGTGAACATATAGTGAAATATTCTGTTATTAATGTTATTTAGTGCTATTTAGGTGAAAGGAAATAAAAGCATTAAGATGCAATATGTATATTACCAATTCCCCACAGCGAATGTATTATATATTTCAAACACTTACTAAACAAAAATTGCAGAATACTGTTAGTGTTATTTCAAAGTAACTCTTTGATTCAATAATTCCACTTTCAGAAAGCTGTCCAAAATAATTAAGAATATAGGTAAAATGTATGTTCAAAATAGTAGCTGTATTTGCTTGCAAATTAGGCACAGTGCCACTGAGCTAAATCCCCAGCCATTCCATTGCTTATTCTTGCATTAAATCCACTTACAACCTGTTTCAGACCTTATTCTATGTCACTTACTTGTCTGCTATTACTGTAATTTTCACCAAACTGTATTTAGCATGATACAAAAATTCCTTATTTTGTAATAAGAAATGAATTTTTGTGGTATGCCAATATACAGAAATATTATAAAACTTGAAAAATCATGTCTAAGAATATTTAGGAAAAATATGGAGTGGATGAACAGTACTCAAATATAAATAACAAATGAACAGAATAGATATATCTTTTGGGCAATTAATATTGTAATAAATCACCCTAAAATCTGAGAGGCTTCACACAGCTCATGTTTATTTGTTGTTCACATAGCAGTCTAACACAAATTGGAAAGTGTCCCAGGTAAGTATTTTCAAGCAGTTAATCAGCCGTCAGGGCCTGGGTAGTGTATGGCTGCTTTAGGTACTATATGGCTTCCAAGGTCACTGTAGAAGGTAGAAATAGCCAGAGACTCTTGGCAAGGTATTTAAGGCCTACAAGTGACTTACATCATTTTTGTTCCCATTCCATTGTCAAGAAATAAATCATATGGTTCTGTAGCTAATTTCAGGGAAGGCTGCAAAGTTTCTTTTATAACATGAAAGAAGAAACAGTTTAATGAGTACAAATCTTGTATCTACCATAGTAGGCTACCAGCTCTGCATAGTAGGATACAATATGATAACATATAGACAAATATATAAATGAAGAATATATGTAGGCAAAGAACAAGATTGAAAATACTTAAACCAAATTAACTGGGTTTATTTTTTTGTAGGCACTGAAACTTCATAGTATTTCAGTCTTTTTGTCCATTTTTTAGGCCTAATCCAATACAATATAAATAGCCCATTAAGTAATGAGTTGTTTTAAATAATACAAAGCTACTTATTCTGTGTATTGTGCAAGAAAATAACACATTCAGAATTTAATATTAACTCTTTGACTCCTATTCTTCCTGCCAAATTCCTACAAGAGACAGCTTGGCTTTAATTAGAAATTCTTTTCTAGCTCTCATTCCAGAGCTGCATCTTTCTTATTTAGGAGAAAAGCATGCTAAAAATGTAGACAATATGTTTTTACAGAGATAGTTTTATACTTAGTAACAAAATTATTGTTTTTGAAAATTCAAATTCCTCATTACTTCCAAGAGTGTATAGGCTTTTCAAACCCATTTCAGAATTCTGGTAACATTGTATTTGCCTTAATACAAGTAATTATTTTGGTAGCACATGTAAAGTCAGAGAAGAGGCACAATTGAGACCACTGAGACAGGCAAAGTTGAAGCAACATGTGATGAGTTTATTGCCATCTGGGTGCATTTGGGTCAAGGACTAAAAGATTGTTGGCACTGAGAGGGTGTGTGTGGTTGTTATAGCAGAGTTTAGGTAGGGGAGGGGACACTGGTTGAAAGCGTGGAAAATTTTAGAGTCCCATGGGTGATGGGCCTGGGGCTGGCTGATAAACAGGGCTGTAGTAGGAAAAGCAGGGGGAGGCTTCTGGCTTTCTCTTATCTCTATGCTCCTGTGGATGTGGATAGCAGGTCTGCTTAGAGAGGGTTTCTGACTAGTGGGGTGGCTGTTAGCACACAAAATAAAATTAAGTGAAAGTATTTTGAGGGATGACAGGCAGTGGAAACAGCATGGGTAAAGGTACAGGACTGTGAATATGAATAATTTGTGGCAGTGATTTTCAAGGTGTGATTTCTAGACCCTCTGCATGGCCTGAGAACTTGCTAAAAATTCATTTCTTCATTCATTCATTGCTAAAAATTCATGGCCCAGTTGGAGGATGGACAACCATCCTGGTTTGCCTGCATCTGTTCTATTTTTAGCACCAGAAATCCCAAACACTGGAAAACTCCTCTTTTCTATGCAAACTAGGATAATTGATCAACTGGGGCGGCTTATCCCAGGCCTACTGAATCAGAAACTCTTTAGTGTGGGCCCACCAATCTGCATTTTTATAATCCCTCCAGGCTATTCAGATGAATGCTAATGTTTGAGAATAGCTGATCTGGGGAAGTGTGAGGGGTTTGGCACTGCTGGGTGATGGGAGTGTGTGATGAAGGATGAAAGCTGCTGAGTAAGCAGACACCAGGCAATGAAGAACATTGCTGCTTTGTTAAAAGTTGCATCCTAAGGTGGGGACAAGGGGAAAAAATGAGAAGCAAGACCTGGCATGTAAAGGTACAAGATCCCAGTAATGAATGTAACTGTACTGTCTACCTAGAATGTACCAATAGATTCAATTTAAATGAAAAAAAAAGTTGCATCCTAAAGCTGATTAGTATGAAAGTATCAACTGAAGGATTTCAGTTGAGGTAGAACATATTACATTGTGAGTTATCTTTTTGTATAGATAAAACTGTTAAGATGAAATATATTATGGTTTAGATCTAAAATGTGTGTGTTCAGGAAGGAGATTGGATCATAGAGGAGCTATATGCATCAGTGGACTAACCCACCTTACAGTTCACAGGTGAAGGTGCTGTTAATAGGTGGGGTCTGGTTACATGACCTAGAATTCTGTTCTCCCTCCCTGGCTCCTGCCTTCCTTCTCTGCTTCCATGACATGAGTAGCTTTCCTCTATCAGGTCCTTTATCATGCAGTTTCTGCCTTGGAGCCAACTAACCACAAAATGAAAATATGAGCCAAAATAAATTACCCCATCTTTATGTTGTGGTTGCCTAGTATTTTGTATGGGCAATAAAGAAAGTGACTAAAACACTCCATTTTATCAATGAATAAAATAAAATTCTATTTTAACCAAATCCAGTTTGCAAATTAATATAAAAATGAAAATTTCAAATAAATCATTGCCTTCATGGTTACTAACCTTTACTAGTCTATGGACTTTCATGAGATTTCTGAATAGCTGTTCATTTTTAGTCAAAGAACAAATATATATTTTGTATATACAATCTTCATCCAGATATGAACTTGGGTATTTTTGTGGAAGTAGAAAGTATTACTAACATCAAATATATATTCTTTGGAAGATGTTAGGTTCAGGATTATGAATATAGTTTATGAAATCAAGAGCAAATGTAGAATTATTCTGTTTTCATTGGTTTGGAAAATGTATTGAAATCATAATATAAAGTGTAAAGCTTTATAATAATGCTGTTCTTTTTTTACATTCATAATAATTATTTTTAAATGTTTCTTACAGTTAATTTAATGTTATAATTTGCTTTCTTTGAAAGTTGCCCATATTTCCATTTTTTCATTTTCTCATATTTTTTTCTTTTCCCTTATTCCTTTTCCCCTACCCTTCCCACTTTCCTGGAGGAGGGAGCGAAGGGAGGGCAGGGACAAGGAAAAATGCGAGCCAAGACCTGTCATGTAAAGGTACAAGATCCCAGTAATGAATGTAACTGTACTGTATACCTAGAATGTACCAATAAACTCAATAAAAAGAGAGAGAGGAAAAAAAGAAAGTTGCCCATATATTTGGAAATAAGCACCTATATCTCAAAACTGAAAATAATCTCTGGACTGTGTATACTTATCTCACATTTTCCTTTCTTTAATTTGTATTTAGGAAATGGGTGGTTTCTTGATGATGTTGTAGTCAAGGATCCCACAACAAGTGATGACTATGCCTTCTTCTGTCACAGGTTTGTAGGTGTGTTTTTACATTGAACAAATTAATTTTTTGTTAGTTCCAATTTCATGTATTTTTGTGAAATAGGTAGTTTATTCAGTTATTCCCAATCATTGGTGCTTTGTTATATAAATTCTATGACTTCTATGACCATTAATCTTAGGGGCTCCTGCTTCTATGGAGAAATAAATCCATTGTTTATCATTATTCTTGATTATACAAATTTAATATTCCTTGGTAAATTAAAGTTCCAAATTAGATTTAAAAATAATAAATGTGCATGGTAACTGTTGTATATGATTTTTTTTTTCCCCCTGGTACTGGGGATTGAACTCCGTTCCTTGTGCTTGTGAAACAGGCACCAAAACCACCAAGCTAAATCCCGGGTCATATGCTTCTTAAATAACTATGACATTGGTGACCCATTGTCAGTAGGCCTTGATTATCAAGTTATTGTGCCAGTCGTTGTAATAGATTTGCTGCCTCTTTCACTTTTTGGCCTTTCTCCTTATGTGGCCAATACTAGCCACTTATGAAATAACTAATTGGAGTTTGAACTAGTTAGTGGTCAAATGACAGGATAAAAATAATTGATCTCATGGTTGTAAAATCTGTGAGTATGGGAATATGTTAGCAGGTTAATGGATTAACTCACTTGTGGATTAGAGAAAACATTTGATCCTTAGCAAATAATAGCTTCTTCTTCCTCTTTGTACCTCCATTGCTTACAGTCATTTTAGGATTTCATTTTCCATTCTGTACTGTTTATTTTTATATTTTTATCTTTATTTACACTTTTAGTTTTTCACACCAGAGAAAGTATTCTGTACTTACCCATGTGTGTCTTATTAATTTCACTAAAGAGTATAACCTCAGTGTGTATCCACTTAGCTATAAATATCTCTAGTTTCTCGTTCTTTATGTCTGAGTTGTACTCCATTTTATTAAAAAAACACATCTTCTTTATCCATTCTCCAGTTGATGGCAGTTTGGTGGTTTCCAAATTTTAGCTATTACACATTGTGCTGCTATAAACAAGAATGAATATATATCACTGTGGTATAATTCTTTTAATTGTTTTAGGAAGATACCCAGCAGAGGAATAGCTGGGTCAAATGGGACTTCTAATCCTAGCTGTTTGAAGTATCTCCATATTGATTTCCATAGTGGTTGTGCCCATTTGTACTACCACCAACAATGAAGCAATGAATTGCTTTTTAAATTATCTAGTACCTATTGTTTTTTCCCAATTTCTACTGTCCATTATTTCTGAGTTGATAGATATTTGCCAGAAGTTTGGGTAAATATAAAGTCTGAAATAATTGATACATGTTTCTATCCACAGATGGCTGGATCAAGGGGAAGATGATGGTAAAATAGTCAGAGAATTATATGTCAGGGATAACAGTATCTCCTCTGCAAGTGAGTGTCACGTACACATCCTTCTTGATTTGATGATGACTAAAGAAAGCATGACACTATTGAAAGTAATGGTACTCTCTTTGCTTTATTTTCTCAGGGCAGAAGGTCGAACTTCAGAGAAAAAAAACAGTAAGATTTTTCTTTGGGCTTTAAATTATTTAGTACAAACAATGTTCAAATAGCTATTTGATATGTTAAAAAAGTAGTATATAATGTTTCATGATGGATGTTTCTTAGTAATTTCTTCTCTTTATGTACTCTAATACAGCACTTTTATTTTTTGTTTCAGTGGGCTGCAGAGAGCTGGAAATTTATGAAAGGAAATACTCTTCAGTTCTACAGTAGACTGACTAGGGGCTTTGTTCGTCTGCATCCGGATGGCACAGTTGATGCTAATGGAGAAAAGACAGATAAATATGGTAAAGCCAGTCAACAGAGTATGTGGTGCCGGGCAGGGTTGGGGGCTGCAGGAAAGCAGATTTCTAGGCAAACCTAATTCATAGTTGTTCTTCTTTTGCATTTGGCTTTACAGTTGGATTAGGCATTTAAATAATCATCTTCCTTAATACAAATAATTAATAGAAAATGAGTTTAAATGTGGATAGACAGTGTCATTATGTAGAATGGTGTTCTGTGAACAAATTTAATTTTGGTATTATTTAATTAAAAAATATAGGCAATTAACATTATTCGTAAAAAGCAGCAGTGTGGCTCTTGAATAATGACTATTTAAGGAATTAAGTCAGTTTTTCCAAATATCGAGTGCCTTTTCTCTTCAAAATAATTTGAGATCTATAGAAATAATGAAGATCTTGCCCTGAATTTCAGAGATTATATAATTTAATAAAGACAGACACATGCAATACTTCTAATCACGGTTGTCTATAGTTAATGTCTTAATAAGGTACAAAGGAAAACCCAGGCAAAGAAAAACTTGATTTGATGTTTAATATCACTGTGTTGTGAAACCATTACTATAAGAATGAACAAAGAAGGAATAGGAATAATATGGTAGTTTTTTTTTTTTTTTTTTTACTATAAACCCAAACTTCCATTCCTTCAAAATTTGAAACTTTAGCATTTTTAGTAAAATTTTCCTGCACTATTTATGGATGTAACTTTGCTACCGCTTTTTTTTTTAGAAACTGTGCTGTTCGTGTAGCCTCTAGAATGTACTGGAGACAGTAATCTGCGGCATATCTGCAAAATATTTCCTTCTCCGTCTCACATTAGAGATCCTAGGGAATAAATCAATTTTAACCTCTAGGAAAATATGTAGACATCTAAGAATACTTCCACATAGCTTACACATCCAAAATTAATTAGTTCTTTGGTATTTTCTTCAATTTGCCTGGGATTACTTATCAATTTAGATAATTCAAAATAGCCCTTCATATCTTATTCTCTGCTGCCAGTGACTCTTTATGAGTATGGTAGATTGTATTTGGAACTATGGCACAAAAATATTTTCCGTTGTTAAATCAGGACCTGAAATGGATCTAAATTTTACCTGATTTGTAGGAAATATGAGACCACTGGATTAAGAGATCGAAACTGTTTATTTCTCACATTAAATATAGCATCCAGGGCAATACGTATCTGTGGTAGTTCCCTCAGTACCCTGAATCTTAGTCTCAAAGTGTCATGCTACAAGGGTCTGATAGTACTGATACATGTAGCTAGTTAGATTAAGGGAGAGAAATTACTAAATTAGGAAACTCTGATCTTATACAGGGTTGTCCATTCTTATCCAGAGGATAAGACAAAGATACAGTTGTGTGCATGGGCACGCGTGCACACACACTTGGAGTGGGAGGATGAATTTATCTTTGTTCTGAAATGCAAGGAAATCTCCAAGATGAATGAAAGGTCATTACCTTATTCCCTTGGGACATACAGAAGGAACAGGATATCCGTCTTTAACACACTGCAGTATCTCTTTAGAAAAACATTTTGGTTTATTTTATTTTTTTGTTGCATTTATTGGTACATTTTAGGTATACAGTACAATTACATTCATTATTGGAATCTTGCATCTTTACATGACAGGTCTCGGTTCTCACTTTTTCCCCCTTGTCCCTGCCCTCCCTTCACCCCCTCCTCCCCTCCTCATTTATGAACACTTTATTTCCATTTTTTCATAATTTTTTCTTTTCCCTTATTACCTTTCCCCTACCCTTCCCACTTTCCCTACACCTTTAGCCCTTTTCTTCCTATTTCACATGGTCAATTATCTCATTATGTATTATTATAGTTTTTCACACCAGAGAAACTATTCAGTATTTACACATATGTGACTTATTTCACTTAGGAATATACCCTCAATATGTTAGAAAAACATTTTGTATCTGCTCAGAGGTACTGGGTCATGCAGGAACATGAAGAGTAATTTTCTTCTACCACCCTTTCCATAGGCTAGTTTATAAGGGACCTTTCCATCGTTGCATCAAGTTTTGATTAATAGAATGCAGCTGAAGTAACACTTTAATTTCCAAGATCTTCATTTTTCTGTCTTCTCTTCTTGGGTTAATTTTTTCAGAACCAGCCTTCCTACTGTGAGGAAGCCCAGGAAGCCATTTGCCTCAAAAAGAACTCAATCTCTAACATCCCCAGCTGAGTTCTTGACCTACAGCCAGTACCCAAGTCTCTGTGTAGACCAAACTCACTGGTAGATGATGAAAACTGAAAAGCTTTTTACCTTTCGTTGTTTCGAGAATCTTAAACACTACTCCTGTAACACATAAAGTGTAATGAAAAGGCAGGTTCAAGAGAATTTTTTTCTTAGTGTAACTGATGTACTTTTGCTTTGCAGTAGAAGGTCTTTTATATGTGATAATTATGTATGGTATTATTTCCTGATGTTATATTTAGTCTCCCATAAATTCGCACTTATGAATCAGTTTTTACATGTCTGAAAAATGCGATTAATACTGACCTATCGACATCTTTTCATGGAATTATTTTAAGAATATATCTCAGATATATGGGCTTACAATTTTTATTTTACAAAACAATATTGTTTTTTGGTCCAAAAAAATATTGTTTTACTCACCATAAGCCAAACCTCTATTTAGTTATTAAACTTGTTGTAAATGTAGCTATTTTCATATTCATAAAGTTATAATGCTCATTTCTCTGCATTCTGTTTCTTGGCTATTGCTTCTGAGAGAGGGATATGTGAAGCTGTGGGAATGAAGGTGAAGATGCAGGGGAAACGCCAGGAAGTTGGAGATGTCAGTAGAGAAAACTGCAGGCTATGAGAGGATCCACCTTAATGAGAATTTGTGTGGGTTGCAACTGACAAGGCCATGGAGGTGGAGGGGAGCTTTTGAAACTCACATCTTGTGCCAGATGTCAGACAAGGAGCTTTAAGACTTAATGTTTTCCTTGCTGGGTTTCAGTCCTTGCTTTGGTCCTATTTTCCATCCCCCTATTCTTTCTTTTTGGAAAGTGACTTTTTTATCCAGTGCCATTGTACCATGGGCTTATGTAACTTGTTTTTGATTTCCATAGGGGTTCATAACTAAGAGTTCACTTTGTATCTCAAGGGAGACTTCGACCTAAACTTCTAAAAAATGTTGGAATTGTTGAGACCTCAGAGAAGGGATTAGTGCATTTTTCATATACACAGAATAATTGTCTCATATTTGGTCTTGTTTTTTGTTTTGTACTAGAGATTGAACCCATGGCTTTCACTTTAAGTGACATCTCCAGCCCTTTTTTAATTTTTATTTTGAATTGGAATCTTGCTAGGGTACTACTTTGCCAAGTTGGACTGAAATTTCTGATCTTCCTTCCTGGCTTTGCCTCTCAAACTACTGGGGTGACAGGTGTGCACCATCATGCTTGGCTTGAAGTGAAAATCCAAAGAAAATTGTTCCATACTGGATAATACTTTTTAAATCTCTTTAAAGCTTCCCAGAAAAACTTTTCTGAATTTTTCATTGGCATTTTTTGAATAATTGACACAGTATGCTGAGGAAGGTAATACTCTTTCTCCCTGTGCTGTAACTTTAAAAAAATGGCCTTGGGATTATTCTCTAATTCATATTGAATAACAAAAGCACACCCAGTTCCAGAACTTTGCCACCTCTGAATTTTCCTTGTCTCCTTAGCTGTTTACTTTGTAATAATGAAATTCTTGGTTTATTGCTAGTGACTTATCTACAGTTTAAAACACTGATGAACTCTAATTCTTTCCTCTGTCTGGTTCTCTGGCACTCAGGACTAAAAAAGGATCTGAAAAAAGTTCATTTTAAAAATAACTGTATACTGGCTACTGTGTTTCTGCTTTACTCTTATTGTATTTTAATAACACATCTCGGAAGCCAGGGAACAGAACCCTTTTATTTTATTTTTTGATACTGGGGATTGAACTCTGGTCCTTGTGCTTGCCAGGCAGGTGGCCGAATCCCTCAGCTAAATCCCTGGCCCACCCTTTTATTTCCTGAGACAGCTTTGAAGTGCTTCCTTTGCTTTAGACTGGAATGAAATGGGCTCTGGATTTGATATTGTCTTATTCAGCTCTTTACTGACAATGTCAGTGTCTGAAGAGAGAAAGAAATGCCAGGGAAATGTGATAGAAGAGGATTCTAGATGTCTTGCAATGACATTCAGTACCCATCCATATAGGAAGGGTATATGGCTGCTCACTTTCTTTAGATCACATAGTGGATGATTAACATATTTTACCAATCTGTACCATATTACTAATTTCTAAGTTTCTCAATTTAAAATCTCAAAACAGATTCAACATTAGTTCCAAATGTTGTGTACCATATGTATTGCAACAGGAAGTGCTTGATCTCATGATTAATCTAGAAACCATAAAACAGATTTTAAACACTTTACCTCATATTAGAAGAAGTCTGCTAGCAGTCTAAAGCTATCTACTGTATTTGATAATTTAAATCATAATTATTCCATAACTTCAATTTGCCCTAACTCCTGTTTGCTTCTTATGAAAAGGTCTGGGAAACAAGGCCTAGTTCTGTGTCTGAAGGCGGCTTCTTTTTTCCTCCTATCAGTAGGAAATAGCCATGTGTGGAGTTGAAGTAGAGTACAAACACTTATGTACAGCTAGATTTGAGATATATGTAAAAGAATTAGAGACTGAAATGCCTTATTTGTTTTGTTTTGTTTTTTTGAGACAGGGTCTCACTATGTAGTTGAGACTCACCTGGAACTCACTATATAGCCAAGACTGGTCTCTAACTCACAGAGATCCTCCTGCCTCAGCCTCCCGAGTGCTGGGATTACAGGCATGCGCCACCATGCCCTGCTTCCTTTTTCTTTTTTATTTAACTGAAAAATTGGGGAACAGTTGTTTAGAGTTTCAATGGAATGGTGGTGAATATTATATGGCTTTTAATAGAAGGTCAGTGTATTCTAAGGAATACCTGTTTAAATTTAGATAATGTGTCATTCTATGGCTACAGATTGTTCAGATGTTTTCAGCTTAATTTTAATGTCTTCATTCACATAGTAGTGCCTGTTCTTTACCATTTTTTTCTCCAAGCTGTGTCCCATAGAACTTCAGCAGCCCATAAAATATTGTCGAGTCACTCAAAAATAGTGTATTTTATTGGAAAGGTTTTAAACTCTTAAGGATATCATGTATCACACTGAACTACTTATAATTTTATTGGAAAAGGTTTTGTTTCTAATGTATATTTTAAATTAAAAATAACTACAGTAAGCTTTCGCTTTGAAGCACATTCTCTACCCTGTTAGATTTCTTAAAACAGGACCCTTACATTTTTTTCTCAGCAGTGGGAATTCATTTGTTCAACAAATATTTATAAAATGCTTACTATGGACTAGGTAGTTCTAGTAGCACTGAACAAGCAGATGAATGGACATTCCTTCATAAACTTGTATTTTATATTTTCATATACTTTTAGAGAAATTTTTGTAGTGAAATATCTTAAAATGATTTCATTGTGTCTTTGCCAAACAAACTGATAAAATAATACATATGAAGGTATAAAACTTAACAAGAGAGGTAAACTCATAATCAGGTTCAGAATACTGCATTAGTATAATGATGGTAGACCAATTTTTCATCTCTCTAATATGAAAGTTAAAAGATAAAATAATCAGTAAAAACTACTAGTGTAGCTACCATAAGTTGTTAAGGAACACACAATATAAACAGATGTAAATTAAGGCATCAAAATATAAATTGTAGGGGTGAGGGTAAAAGTCTAGTGTTTATAAGATGCCAATGTTAAGTTGTTATCTTAAAATATACTATTTAAAGAAGTTTTAAAGTAAGTCCTATGGTAACTATAAAAATAGTTCAACAGATATATAACTGAGAAAGAGAAAGGAATCAAAAAGCTTAACATTATGTTATAAAAAAATTGTCAAACCATAAAGGTGAACAACAAGAGAGAAAGGAACAAAGGTTTACAAAACAACCAGAAAAAAATTTTTAAAGATAGCTCAAGTAAAATTTTTATGCATCAGTAAAAACCTTGAATATAAATGGATTAAATTTTCCAATGAAAAGATATAAAATGACTGAATGGAAAATAAAAACAACACCCAACTGTATACTACCTACAAGAGATGGACTTCACCTAGAAGGATCCACAAACTGAAAGAGAAGCAATACAGAAAAATTTCTGTGCAAATGGAAGCCAAAAGTGTGCAGGAATAGTTATAGCAGATAAAACAGATTTTAAGTAAAAAACTAAAAAGATGAATTCATTACATAATGATAATAAGGACATAAAAATTATAAATACAATTTTGCTCCATAACATTTTGATTAGTGATAGATCACAAATATAATAGTAGTCCCATAAAATTATAATGGAGAGGAAAAATTCTGAGCTAGTGACCTTGTAGCCATTGTAACCATAGTAACATCTTAGCAGAGTACATTACTCATGTTTGTGGTGATGATTCAAACTTGTTGCACTGCCATTCATTTAAAACTATAACACATAAAATGATCTATGTTATATAATGCTTGTTAATAAGCTATCTTACTAGTTTATGCATTTATTAAATTTTTATTATTTTAGAGCATAATCCTGTTTATTAAGGTTAAAATCCATGTGCTGATAGCAGCCTTTATGCATCTTGAATTTACCGTGGCTCTTGATTGCACCAGGAGGTCACACTGAGCAATCTGTGTAATTATATCCCATGATATTTGAATTGTGATGGCTTCAATTAATGATACATTTTTCAGAATGTTTCTGTGTTGTTGACACATGATCCTATGTGTGTGCTCAGCACTGAAAGACCAAAATATATAAACAGAATATTAGTTCTAAAGGGAAAGATAACTACAGTAATAGTAGGGTGCTTCAACACCCCTATGTTTAGCAATGTTCATATCATCCAGACAGAAAATCAACAGAGAAACATCACATTTAACTGCATTCTAGACCAAATGGGCCTAACAGACATTTATAGAACATTTAATTCAATAGCTACAGGTTAAAAATTCTTCTTAGCTGCACATATGCCAGGATAAACCATATGTTAGACCACAAAACATGTCTTAAAATATTTAGGAAGACAAAAATAAAATCAAGTACCTTTTTTGACCATGTGGTATAAATTTAGAACTCATTAACAGAAGGAACTTCAGAAACTTTACAAATACATATGAGTTAAGTGACATGCTCCTGGAAAGCTCTGTGAATTTGGATGTGACTTCAAAAGCAAAGGCAACAGAGACAAAATAGACAAACAAAATTGCATTAAACTCTAAAGCTCTTACATGGAAAATAAGACAATAAAGGCATAATATACACAATGGATGAAAATATTTGCCAGCTATACATGTGTTAGGGAGTGATATTCAAATTATACAAGAAACTTAATAACAAGAAAAATAACTCTGTACATAAATGTGTAAAAGGTCTAAATAGACACATCTTTAAAGAAAATTTTGAAATGACCAAGAAATACATGAAAAAATTGTCAAAACTACTAATCAGAGAAATGCGAATGAAAATCACAGTAAGATATCATCTCATCAGAGCTGTTAGAATGCTTGTTATTGGGCCAGGGATTTAGCTCAGTGGCACTGCACCTGTCTTGAAAACACAAGGTCCTGAGTTCAATCCCTGGAATAAAAACAAACACCCCCCAAAAAAGAAAACCCCACACTGTTATCAAATGATGAATATAAGCATAATGTATACCTAAAATGTGCCAATAAAGTTAAATTTTTAAAAAGACAAAGGATAACAAGTATGGGTTAGGAGTTGTAGAAAAGGGTACTTGTATAACCTATAGGAATGTAAATTACTGCAGCTGTTATGGAAAGTATAGTGGTTACTCAAAATATTAAAAACAAAACCTAAAGATAATGCTAAGTCATAAGTCTGACATAGAAAAAAATCACCTGTATTACCTAATAACTGCAATAATTCTTAATTTGATATGGATTGACTAAGCTCAAAGTTTTGACTTAATATAAAATTGGTTATATTGATGATGTAAGAAAGGGGAGATAGGTTCATTTTAGAAAATCTAATCTTGTAATGGTGAAATCATTCTATAGACATACATGTACATTATATCATATTCCTTTATGTGTATTTGTCATATGTGTGTGTATATATACACTATATAACCTACAGAGACAGACTTCAGCAACTCATTAAGAAGTAAGTCATGGCTCAAGGAACCACCAATTTTAAAAATCATTCTATTTTTATATACCTCTGGAAAAAAAAGTACATTATATTATGAATTTTCTCAAACTGAACATAGTATAAGCAGGACATTTTACCTCTTTGCTAATCTCAAACATTTAATTGAAGCATAAAATGTATTTAGATGTGTGATTAAAAAAGAGAAAACCTTTTAAAGCATGAATTGTTAATATTAAAAATAATGTTTTTAGGTCTTTTTGATGTAGTTTTCAACAAAGGAAATATATGCATTTTTCAAAGTCATGAGATGAGGCATCTTTTTCTTGCCGTTGATAATGGCTCTGTCACTGGAATGGTGAGTAGTACATTTTTTTGGCTGTCTATCAATGGTACTATATCTGTATAGGATACATTTTTATATAATGTACTTTTTATAAACTTATCAATTTACATTTTTCTTTGGCTTATCTTTTTTACATTTTTCTGTTTTACTAACTTTTGAGATCCTGATACATAAATGGATCTGGATTTTCATAACTTAAATTTAGAACAAGTCTTTGATAACATTAAATGTTTTAAGGAACTTTCAGAAATAGACTATGTGAATTTTTTCTGGCACCTTTAGGGACCATATTTATGAAAACCCCCAATAATTTTGCCTCCTAATATGTTCCTTTGCTCAGTTTAGGTTTGAAAAATAGTTTTTAATATGTGTAAAAATATTTCCTCAAAATTCATGCATATTGTTGATTTTGAAAAATGAGACCATAGAGGATAATTGTCTTAATATGTATCTTAGCTAATTTTTTCATTGCTGAGACAAAATGCATGACACTCAAGGTTATAAGAGGAAAGGTTTACTGTAGCTCACAGTTTGTAGAAGTTTCAGTTCATGGTTCACTGGCTCCAAGACAAGGTGGCAGGGCAGAGGGGCAGCACAGTAGAGAAACAGTCCATGACAGGGAAATGGCAACCAAAAACAGCAAGTAGCAACAGCAGCAAGTGACAAGTGACAGCAGTAACCCTTTTTCTGTCCCTAATATCCTATCCAGGCTATCCATCCTTAGGGTAGTACTCTCACCCAGGGTGGGGCAGTGACCCTTAATCCTAGCATTGCACCCTTAATTAATCCCAGTATCACGTCCTTGCTTCCAGTGCTACACACCCCAGGTCCAGCCATCTCTGAAAAGCCCTTCCTGTGACTACATCTAGATACATCTAGATACAAGCCATAACATTCCGCCTCTGGTCCCCCAAAGACTTGTATAACCCTTTATGCGACATGCATTTAGTCTATCTCCAAGAGTTGTCAACGTCCATTCAGGGGGTACCAGTGAACCCTACTGTCCACTTGGGACACTGACGGGAAATGGGGCAGGTCCTCCACACTACCATGAACCCAAAATGTCTCCCTGTAGCATAACTACCACAATTTCTTTTAGTCTTTTGGAAACAAAACTTAGATTTGAGGTAGGACTTTTGTTCATTTCAGTTTTTGATCCCAAATAGTCTCCAGTTAGGAGAACTAAAATGATTAAATTGAAAACAATAAAATACACATTACCGTTTTTTAACATTATCCTGCCACTGGAGTTTTTTTTTTTTTTTTGGTACCGTAGATCGAATTCAGGACCTTGTTCTTGTGAGGTAGGCACAATGCCACTGAGCTACATCTCTGGCCCTGGAGTTATTTTTGCTATGCAACACTTTGCCATGGATTGTAAGAGAGAAGAAAGTCCTTGAAGCAGTACACTTACAATAAGGCTGGGAAATAACTGAATTACAAAAGCATGAGAGTATATAAATAATACAAGGATTTTGTAGTCTGGAGTAGAGCTGCATATACTATACAAATAATGTCGGGACATTTTATATTTTATTGTTTTCTCTTGGTAATTCAGAGTTGGATTTCTTTTCTTTTCTTTTTTAATGTTTTGTTTTAGGCTGGTGGTGGAGCCCCCACTGAATGGCGGGTGCTTTATCAGCCCAGCCGTTCCGCGCTGCTGGAGTCAGTAATGGTTCCCGGTCACACAGTGAGTTTTAATCGTCATGGCAAAATAGCTGATGAGTCATCAGCAGGCTATGCAGACCTTTCAAAAGAATTTGTGATTTTTGTGAAGGTAAAATGGAATTTCATCATCCGAGTTTATAGGGCTAAATAACTTTTACTTTATTGAAAAATTTGAATTGAATCATACCGTTCTTTCCACTAGGTGGCATTGATGCCTGTTACCATTATGTTTACTCAGTCTGAAAGTTTTAGCAGCAATACAACTGTGATGGGAATAATGTCCTGTAGCTGGAAGTTAAATTTTTGGATGTGGACATTCTTAATTAAAAAATTAGAGGGCCAGGTATTTAGATCAGAGGTGCCACACCTGGGTATGATCCCTGGTGCCCCCCCCCAAAAAAATTAGAGAATCTTACATTTGGGTGTTGACATAAATACATTGAACTTTTCTAACAATTGAGATTTGTATCCTGTGATTATTAAGCATGAGTAGTCATTTCCTAATGCTTTTGTCTCTTTCATTATAGTATGTTTATGGATTTGTCTTAATATTATCATGTTAATATAATAACTATAATTTTTGAGATTGCCTATTCATAGACATTTTATTGAGAATCTTACCATGTATAAGACAAAGTACTGACAAATATCTATATTTTAAAGGTGAAGGAAAGATTTTCAGTGATATTAAGGGTCTTAGTGAGCTGGGTGTGGTGTCTGTAATCTGAGCATTCTGGGAGGCTGAGGCAGAAGGATTATAAATTTGATCTTAGCCTGGACAATTTAATGATTTAGAGCCTGTCTCAAAATAAAAAATAAAAAAACAATAAAAAAGGACTGGGGATGTAGCTTCATGCAAAGACCTTAAGTTCAATGTCCAGTGAAAGACAGAGAGAGAGAGAGAGAGAGAGAGAGAGAGAGAGAGAGAGACAGAGAGCAAGAGAGAATATGAATATATGAATCTTGGCTACAACAGCATAGATGTTAAATGATAGATCATGTTTCAAACCATACTCTTATTGTCTTTTTAAAACTTACTATTCCAAACCAGACCTTTCATGTAAAGGTACAAGATCCCAATGATGAATATAACTGTATTGTATACCTAAAAAGTACCAATAAACTCAATGAGAAAAAAACCTTACTATTCTTGTTATGTAAGAAATGCTTCCTTACATTGTCTTTCTTAAAACACCAAAAATTTAACTTGTAGAATATTATTTAATAAATTTCTAATTTATAGATCTTTATATATGTATTTTAAATTATTAGACATTCTGTTTTCATTTTACACCTTGTGCACTTAGTATTGTAATATATACTTTAATGTTAACCTTTGACAGTATCTTCTATTATTTAGAAAATTAGAAAATTAGAAATTGAATCTAAGGGTTAGAATATAGGACTTTTAAGACTCTGGAAACACTATCAAACTTTTTTTCAAAATGTGTCAATTTTTATTCCTATGAAATTTAAATCAATCATGAAGTAAGAGCCTATTTCATTACTTTACTTCTGACATCAACTGGAGAGTTTTGGAGGTTCTTGAGACTATTATCAAGGCTTGGTCAGTAGGAGTATTCAAATAATCATTGAAAGTCATTATTCTCATAGTTATGGTTTATTATAGGGAAAGAATACAGGTCAAACTTTTCTACTTGAAGAGACACATAGGGCAGAGCCTAGGAAAGTAGCAAATGTGGAACTTCTCGTTGCCTTCTCCCCATGACATCAAAGCAGAGTTGTTTTTTCAGCATGGTTCGACACAGAGGAAGTACTGTCAAGCAGGAAAGGTCACCCAAGCTTGGTATCAAGAGTCCTTACTGGATTTCCAACACACAGGGTCTTTGTGACTAATTTCAGTCTCCAGACTCCTAGGTTATTGATACCTTATGACCAAAAGCCCCTACCTTAAGTCACACTGTTACTCTCTGGCTAGCCCAAAGCCACTAGGAGAACAAACATACTCCAATCAGGGATGTCATCCCCAGGGGCTTAGAGATTATATCTCAGAAGGTGAGGCAAAGGCCAGGTTTCTCTGGGAAAGATTAAGTTCTTTATTCCCAATACCTTACAGCAGTGTAGGAGAAAAACTGATCTTACTAACATCATAAATGTGTGTTGGAAAAAGAAAATTTTAGACAATTGCCTAGAAGAATACATATCTAATGTAAGCTTTTTCTTCATTGCTAGAGTAGATTACCTTTTCTTATGTTTATACACCAATTGAATTTGTACATTTTGTGATTTGTATGTTTTTTTGTTTTATTCATTTTTTGCAGTGTTAATATATTTTTAGTTCATTTTCAAGAGCTTTTTATAATTGTTCTCTTCATGATGGCATAGGATTTGCTGCCGTATATCTTGGTTGTTTGCTTCTCTTCTCATTAATTCCTATGTGCCTGCATTTAATTTAAGTCTTTGGGCTGCATTCCATAATTTGGGTACTCTCTAGCCATCTCTCTAACACGAATGTGTGCTTTTTGACTTACTGCCTTTCTGTTGTTCGTTGCTTTGAAGGGAGTGTTCCACAACAGTGCTGTGGTTCTACTTGCCACAAGCCTATGTCAGGCCCTGTGTCTACAGCCTGATGGGACCTGCACTGGATCAGGAAACCAGTCTGAGAAATCTTACTGGAAAGTACATAAAATCAGCTCTGGGATTTGCATGTTTGAAAGTGTAAAAAATGCACGGATGTACCTAAGGATTAAGGATGGCCAGTGTGACGGAGCAGTAAGCATATGCCCTTATTTCTCTTATCAAGTGTTTAAGATATTTGCCAGTAATAGACATGAAAAAAAGCACTTTTATGAGTGTTTTGATTTTCAGTTTTACTTCTAAACATTCTGGAACTGGATGTTATATTTGGTAGTCCCCCATAACTGATGTTTTTAGTAAGTGGGGAATGTGCCACATGCCTGGTATGTAAACAAGGGATACAGACCCTCTAAAAGGTACTTCTGAAAAGTATACCTTAACTCAGGAAACAGTTTTAAATTTTATACATCAGGAATCATTTTCTTCTATATAGTGAGGATGTGTGCAAGACAACTAACATCTTTTATATATTCATAATTTGATGGGAGAATATGAGTGATTATAAAGTTTAAATACTTACATAAAATTCAACCCTTCATATTAGTGATCTCTCTTTTCTTATCTGAAACAGTTTAAAATTATTTTGTTTAGATAAACTCAGAGGTATTCCATTCTCTCAGCAGTATGACATCTGACTATTTGGGTCTGTGGTGATAGGGAGAGAGAAAGCTTAGACCTTTCTTGGACCTCTGGGTCCCTGATTTTGTGATAAGCAAGGTACAATGCAAAGTAGAAAAGTACATATTTGTCATCCCTTATTGACTTATAAGAGCATAATGAAGTGAGTTATATCACCATTTTACAGAAAAGGCCAAACTTAAGAAACAAAGTGCATTTAATGATCATTAAGCTGGTATTTATGCTAATTGGGGTAAAAACTGGTAACATTATTATGAAGTCCAGACTAACTGAGTTTATGATTTCATCTGATGCTCAGTCACCCCATAAAAGAAGCATCAGAAATCAGCTTTCCCTTCATATAATTATCATCCTCTCTGTGCAAACCTTTCTCTTCCTTGAGATGGTATACTATATGATACCTGCTTTGGCGAGTGCTTCTGGGGATACAGATAAGTATAGCTTCAAAGTGGGAGATGGGTCAGCATTGAAAACTTGTGGTTTTCCTGGATGGTAATCGAAGGGACAGTTTAGTGATTATTCATGTTTCATTAGCTACCTCATTCTCAAGTTGGATGATATATTAAGATTTTTCAGAGAAACAGAACTGATAGAATATACATATAATTATGAGGAGACTTACTGGATTGGTTTACATAATCAGAAGCTGAAGAGTCTCATAGTGGCCATATACAGGCTGGTGAGTCAGGGGAACTAGTAGCTTTCAGTCCAAGAAACTGGAAGCCTCAGAATAAGAGAGAGGTCATTTTAAGGCCAAAGGTCTGGAAGCCCTGTGGAATCTGCCGATTTTCCAGTTCATGTTCAAATGCTGAAGTGCTTGGAGTCTGATGTCCAGGGGTAACACCAGTAGAAAAACTATACACACTTGAGAGAAGTATCGAGCATGAATGAGTATGAATGAACCTTTCCATTCTTCAGCTTTTTTTGTCCATCCCATCCCTTAGTTTATTAGATGGTGCCTTCTGCATTCAAGGTGCATTCAAGGTTGCTGACCACACACCAGTCTTCTGTGAAACACTCTCACAGACACACTCAGAAGTGTGCTTTACCAAATTTCTAGGCATCTCTTAAAACAGTCAAGTCAACCAAAATTAACCATCACAGATGATGATTTTCTTGGTTCTGTAATTCTTTCCTTTTAAGGCTCTGTGCCCCTTCTGTTTTTTTTTTCTTACTGTTAACTTGTTTCTAATAAATTTCCTCTGTAAGTTTTTAGCAGAATCTTTTTATCTTATACTAAAAACTCATATTGTTGCTGTCATCTTTTTTCTTCCTTCTCTCCTTTTCTCCTCTTCTTAGCTATGGGTCAGTCAGCATTATCTGATTAGAGTGAGAGAATGGAAAAATTCTTATGTGTTCAGTTAAAAGAAGCTGGTGAGCATTGGAAGGTAAGGAATAGGAATATGGGAAATAAGGAAAATAATATTGGAATATTCTAAAATAAGGAATATTGCTCTATTACAGAGGAACTATTGACGCGGTCATGCTTTGCATGTAGAAGCCAAGTGTAAGCCTTGATAAATAACTTGCTGAGATTTCCTAACTGGTGTTAGAGCTCAGGCTGTACCCACTTTGGCCTACTCCCTAAGTCTTTGTTTTGGAGGACTGAAGATAATTGATTGGAGAAACTGTGGTGATTTCTATGAGAGGATCAGGGTCAACATACATGAGAGACAATAATTCCAAATACAAAAATAAAGTTTTCTCCTTTAGCAGTGTTCTAAGAAACAGCCCAGACAGCATGTCATGTGACTGATTGGGTCTGAAATAAGTAGATGGAAAAACACTCCAGTCTATATTGTGATTTATGCTAGTGCTGGGAGCCCTTTGTCTTTCTCTTCCCTGATGGCCTCCTCATAACGAAATGCTAGGTTCAGGATTTCCTGAACATTTTGGAGATGAGATGTGCAATCATACCTTGGAATTTCAAACCACATATAACTTTTAAAGTTGTTTTATAATTTAAAAAAGCAGAAGCATCTGTTTTATTTACTTTTGAATAAAAATTGCCAAAGTGGAGAATTCAGTGAGATCTGTTGATAAAGATGAACATAAATGGTTTTGTTACCTGGGATATGGCATACAACTTTAAGGATGACGGGCAGAAGACAGATTGTCTAGAACTTTTGAAGATGAAAAATCACATGTTGGTTGCATTTGCATTGTCCAGAGAGTTACATAATTAGTCTGAAGTATTCAAAGACAACACGTATGTATGAAACAGGATCTGAATAGAAAAGAGATTAGGAGGTGGAACTGTGTTAATGCAAACCAGAAACAACAGGTCCGTATATGTCCAGGTGTTACTAGAACTACTACATTTAATAACCAGTTCAGTACATTTCAGCTCCAAGAGTGCAACTTTGGGCAAGAACAAGGAGCCTTGGGGGTCTAGGATGGGGATGAATCATTAACTGGCTGTCAGGGCCCCATTTTTTCCTGCTATAATACAGCCCCTGATCCCTATCCTGGCAGTTTGCTGTGATCTCTAGAAGCTTTCCCATACTGGGGCAGTGAGAGAGTCAGGAAGACCTAAGGGGCTCAGTTTACAACTATTAACAATTTAATATAGATGTATTTTAGTATTTAAAATGGTATGGATCCTGCTCCAACAAGGCTGACTAGAGGAAAGGACTCATTAGAGATACTCAGAGAGGAGTCACTGAAGTCACAGCTACCTGGTAGTAGAGGAGAGTTTTATACCATGAAGGTAGATCAGACCTAATAATTGTTTTGTTGGAGCAGGGAGTGAGTGTGGCTGGTTCACACCTCTCCAGCCTCCTGCTCCTCCGGGGAACAGCCATTATGAAAGCATTCCAAGTAACCTTAGGGAGGGAAGAAACAAAGAAGTACTATAGAGACTGAACTCCTTTGTCAGAGTCTGTATATACCAGCCACTTACCACATCAAGTCTAATACAGTGAGAATGGTGCAGCCCAGCAGCATCTTCACCAGGACTCATTGATGGCATGTGAACCTGGGCAGAGGGAGGATAAATGTGTGAACAGGGACTGCAGATTTATGAAAACATGCACTCCCAAACTACAGACTCTATGGACTACTGTCTAAGAGTGAGTTATTCACTCTATACCCTGCACATCAGCCACTGCCATCTCCTCTGCACTTCCCACCAGTACTCACTGAGGGCAAGGACTTCCCCACCTAACACTTGGTGGAGAAAGAATAAATTAGTGAATAGGGACTGTGGATACATGTGGGTGTGCCTTTCAGTTCTGGAGGTTGTGTGTACTCCCACCTGAGAGTAAATCACTGATTCCCATGGTTCCACAGCAGCTGCTGTCATCTTCTTCAGACTCTGCAACCTGTGTGTAAACATGTTCACAGATCCCTGATAACCCTCACTAGATCATGAGCATGCCCCTAACTCTGTGGTCTCTTACCTGCTAGTGAACCTTTCCATGGATTCTGCCATCCGAAACAGGCATCTGAAATGACCAGAGACTCCTCAGATGAAGAAGTACAAATGCAAATAAATATATGAAAAAATGTTCATCACTGGTCATTGGAAATGCAAATTAAAAACCCAGAAATTCAATCTCACTCCCAAAAGAAGGGCTAGCATCAAGAAATCAACCAATAACAAATTCTGGCAAGGCTGTGGGGAAAAGGGAACCCCACTACATTGTTGGTAGGAGTGTAAACTGGTACAGCCACTATGGAAATCAGTATGGAGATTCCTCAAAAAACCAGAAGTAATGGTTCTATTTGGCCCAGCTATTCCCCTTCTAGGCACCTTTCTGAAAGAGTTAAAAGCATCATATCACAGTGATATATGCATACACACTTATAGCAGCACAATTTATAATAGCTAAATCTTGGAAATAGCCCATATGCCCATCATTAGATGAATGGATAAAGCAAATGTGGTATTTATATATAGTGGAGTACTATTCTGTCGCGAAAAGGACAAACTTGAATAATTTGTAGGTAAATAGAGAACATAGTTTTAAGTGAAATAAATGACACACAAGTTTAAAGATCAGATTGTTTCTCTTGTGTGAGAAACCCTAAGACTAAATAAGGTGCAAAATGGAGGATAGATATTGGGAAGCATGAAGAACATGTTCACATGGGAAGGGGATGCAGTGGGGAGAGTGGATGAAGGAGAAAGGGATGAAAAACAAAGAATAGAAGGAAAAGAATAGAAACAAAGCTTCTGTAAACGGGAAGAGGAAGAATGGTTGATGGGAGGGGAAAGAAATGAGGAAAATAATTAAGATATATACAGTTGCAAATGTGAAGAATGTGAGCAGTATTTATGACAAATATGTACTAATAAAAATTTTTAAATCCACACACATAATCATTAAATATGTGCAAGAAAAGAAAGAACAGAGGAAAAGGACAATGTTAGGAATTAATTTTTCAGTGTAATGGCCTCAACTCTTAAGTTAAAGACACAGATTGTCAGAAACTGGCTCAAAAACCAGAATCCAACAATCTGTTTCAGTCAAGAAACTTTTATAAATCCACAA